ACGAAGAGGAAGAGGCGGCATATGACCTTTCGTGACGAGGAGCATAACGTTTCCGATGAAGAGGGGATGGAGGATAGAAGGACACGGTGGAAAAAAAGGAAGAAAAAAAGAGCCGGAAAGAGGAGAGAAGGTGAGGAGGAGGAGGAGGAATCTGCGCGAAGTAAAAAGACGGAAAGGAAGCACAACAGAAGTCCACAGACATATATATATATACATACACAATACAACAAAGAGAGGGAAGCGTGAAAACAAAGAGACAAGGGAAGAAGATGTGGTTGAAGGGAGTGAATGGGAAAAGGAGGACGAAGATGAAGCAGGGGGGAGAACGGTAGCAGTACCGTCAGGATAACACCTGCATTCAAATGCATATGTGCATTGTCGTTGTTGTTGGTTTTTTTTTCTTTTTTTCTTTCTTCTTTATTCCTTGTGTCTGTGTGTCGTTATTGTTGTTGTTTGTTTGTTTTTCCCATGGCTGCACCCTTTCTTTTTAAGAATGCATTACGAGACGCGTATTGTTCCTGCGTCAGCCAAATGCTCACATGTACATGCATGCATGCGTACATATATGTTCCCACACTGTCCCCTTTTTTTTTTTTTTTTCGTATTCTTCTGCCTCCCTGCGTGGGGTGTTTGCTTCGTTTTGATGCACCACAATGATGTCATCATGAGGGCAGTTTGATTGAAGCCTATAAGCCCAACTCATTATTCACGTACGTACGCGTATTATTCTAATCATTCCCACCCAATAAACCAACAACAACAAAAAAAAAAAAAAAAAGAACAGCGGAGGGAGAAAAAGAAAAGAAAAAAAAAAAGCAAATGCGGCTTCGTTCCTTCTTGCTGCGGTATTACCCACCAGGGATCACGCTGGAATACGAGACCTCTGGAGGGGAGGTGCGGGAAAAGACAATAGACCTCTTGACACTCACAACGCAGACAAATTTAGACCGTCTTGCGGCGGAAATTATAAAGGAGGAGCCACTACTCTCTGAGAAGTATACGCCGCAGCTTTTATCTTACCTGCGGCGCCTCGTGGAAAAGCTAAAGGCAGGGTACAATAATAAGCAGACGTTTTATTTATTCAAGACACTACGGGCACATATGTTACCCTTGACGAACTGTGCCTTTAATAAGGGTGGTGACTCCTTTATTACCGGAAGCTACGACCGCACATGCAAGGTATGGGACACAGCTTCTGGAAACGAAGTTGTATCGTTGGAAGGACATCGTAATGTTGTGTATTCTGTGTCATTTAACAATCCCTATGGTAATCGTGTAGCCACAGGCAGTTTTGATAAGACGTGCAAAATATGGGATGCGGCTACAGGGCAGTGTTACCACACCTTGTCGGGTCATATGGCTGAAGTGGTTTGTATGAGTTTTAATCCGCAAAGCACGCATCTTTCTTCTGGATCTATGGATTACACAGCGAAGGTGTGGGATCTGGAAACTGGACAGGAGACATTTACACTCCTTGGACATACTGCAGAAATAGTATCACTTAATTTCAATACAAGTGGAAATTTAATTCTCACTGGTAGCTTTGACACAAGTGCTAAATTATGGGATGTTCGCACTGGGAAGTGTGTGCATACTCTGAGTGCACATCGAGCTGAAATATCATCGACGCAGTTTGATTACCCTGGAAATCTCTGCATCACAGGCTGCATCGATCGCAATTGCAAATTGTGGGATGTTGGCTCCGGTCAATGTGTGGCAACGCTTCGAGGTCACACTGACGAGATTCTCGACGTGGCCTTCAACGCGACGGGATCATCGTTTGTGACGGCTAGCGCAGATGCCACGGCACGTGTGTATGACACCGCGACATGCAACTGCGTCGCAAGTCTGGTAGGCCACGAGGGTGAAATATCAAAAGTGCAGTTTAACCCGCAGGGGACAAAAGTCATCTCCGCCGCAAACGACAAGACATGCCGCGTGTGGAGTGTGGAAACAGGGCAAGTATTGCAGTGTCTTACTGGTCATAATGACGAGATATTCTCCTGTGCATTCAACTACGAGGGTGACACCATCTTGACCGGGTCAAAGGACAATACGTGCGGCATATGGAAGAGTTGAGTTCTCTCACGAGGCGTCGAACGCGGCTCATTTCCACACCCTTCCAAACTCAGACACAAACAGAGAGAGAGGGAGAGATGGGAGGAGGGAGAGATACACAGTGGGCGCAGTGACATTTGGATTCATCACAAGTCATGCAGAAGGTATGCATGCTTGCGGGAGATATTGCTGAGGAGAAGGGAGAGGCGGAAACAACGAACACACGGACGGAAGAATCAGAAGAAGGAAGGCCGTTGGAAACCGTCTTGTTGCAGACAATGACGATGTTGAGACGGAGGATGTGTAGGAGTGGGGGGGTGGGGGTTCAATAGATGTGGACAAGACTTGTTAGAAACAAAGATAAAATTTAACAAATGAGCTGTTTTGTCACGCTATTCTCTATCTTTTTTCCTTTCTTTAAGAGTTTTCATTTTATTTATTTTTTATTTTTGCTTCCGTGGGGCGTCTGCGCATGTCTGTGTCTGTGCTTGTGTGTGTGTGTGTGTGTGTGTATTGGTGTGTATTGGTGCCTGTGGCAAGAGTTATAGAGGAAGAGGGAGAGGGAGAGGGAGCACTGTTAAAGTGTGCTCGCATAATCGGTTGCCAGTGCCGGTGTGTGATCCCTGATGTCGTCTTCATACATCCACGCATCGAGGGCCATGAGAAATGACCGTCTCTCCTCATTGCCTTTAAATATTGGGGGCGATGTCGATGGGGGAATATAAAATTTTTACGACGTTTACTCAATCGATATTTAAAAAAATTTCAATACAAACATGCGCGCAAAATATAAATGCATATAAAATGGCTTTTAAGATTTTATTTTGTTTTTGTTTTTGTCTTTTTCTTTTATTTGATCTGTTTGTTAGCCCTTCCGCCTCCTTCTCAATATCTCTGAGTGTACGTGTATGTCGTGGGAGCGATTTGTGAAGGTCGGTGTGGAGATATGAAGACGGAAGAGGACGGGGCGATGAGAAATTGGCAGCGTACGCTTCACTCACGCATGTCTTCTCCTTTGGTAGGTGAGGGATTTACGTTTGGGGTCGAACTTCTTTCGCCGCGGGATCCTTCTCTCTCTTCAACCTTCTGCGACGCCGTGGCGTTGTTCCGTCCGTACCGGCCCGCTTACTACATTTTGCCCATGAAGGCACCGTACTTTACCGCCTCCGGGTGCAGTGGGTTGCAGACCGCCGTGGATTGTGTAAGGCAAATCGGTGGACGCGTGATTCTTACAGTGACCGCCACGATGAGTGCAGATGACAACAACAACATGGCCGCCACATACGAAGGGGTGCGACGTATTCTTCACGACTTTGTGGTGAAGCGTGGGGGCGACTCGCTGCTGTTACTCCGCGGAGATGCGATGCTACAACGGCAAGGAGACCAGGCGTCGTCGCAGACGAAGAAGCGACATGGCGACTTCCAAGACAGTGTAGAGCTGCTGCAATTTGTGGCTAGAGAGGTAAAAGGACTGGCCGATGCGCCGGTGTCGCTCTTCTCCAGCGGGTATTCTCAGGGTCATCCAATGGATCGCATATGGAACGGTGACCGCCAGGCGTCTCTGTCGTTTATGGAAGAACTGTCCAATGGGATCAACGAGAGGGGCGTGGATACCACGGGGCATCTCCCGACCCGTACGTGGGACGCAGCGTGTGTGAATGTACGCAAGTTAATTCACCGTGTGGAGCAGGTACTCTCTTTGCGTGATGTACCATCGGATTTACCACACGACGCAAGGCAGCGGGCGGTGCAAACGTTGGTGCGTGAAAAAATTCTGCGGCACGGTGTTCGCGGGATTATTACACAAATGCTCACAAGTGCAGACGAGTTCAATGCGTACGTGAACGACGTGCGCCGTGAGCTTCGCCACGCCGACACTGGGGAGCTGGTGGATGAGGTTGTGGTTTGGCCCACCATCATGGCACCCCTTGCGGCGGAGGAGTATACACGCCTCTTGTTGTTTACAAAAACCATACCGAGCGCAGCGGTGCAACAGGCTCTACGTGCGTACCGTGACGGTTTGAAGGCGGCGGTGGCCTCAGCGACACGGCACGGAACAAGCGATGAAGAGAAGGTTTGTGCTCTGATGAGCACCAAGACGGCGCTGGAGGAGACATTTCGCAGGAGACTGGAGGATGAGACTTTGGCGATGTGCCGCACGCTCTTCCTCTCCGGACATCGGCACCTGAACTGCTCCGCGTTTAAGAGCACGCATTTACCCCTTTTGCTGCGGCTGCTTGACCGGCTCCAAGAGGAGGCGAATGGCCATTGCGGCGCGTCTCCTGCACGGGGAAGTTGTCCTTCCTTCCTGTAGTTTGATATGCACAAAGGCGTTCCTGTGTTTGTACTTGCGCAGCGGCCATTTTTGTTGTTGTTGTTGTTTTCTTTGGCGGGAGGAAGAAGGAGTTGTGGATCATGAAAGTTATTGGCCGATGTCTTTTTGTTTTCTTCTTTTCATCTTGCGTGTGAAAAAATCTTTCATGTCATTTTACTGATGTGTGTAAATAGATATGAACGTTTTGCACAAAAAGAGAGAGAGAGAGAGGAGAGGAGCGTTTAAGAGCATTCAAACCGCAGTGCACATACTACGCATGCGTGTGACTGTGTGTTGCCTGTGGGCTTAAACAGGAGACCAGAAGGTTTCTTCTTTCCCCCCTCTTTCCATTTTTCGTAATTTTGTGTTTGCTCGTCTTTTCATCTGCTTCTTTGCTGCAAATGTAAGGAGAAGGTGGCTGTTCAGAGAAGCAGGCAGAACTCGAGACGAAAACATTTCCCTCAAAATTAAATAAATAAAGTTTTAAAAAGGGGGGGAGGGGGGGGGGAAAAAACCACAATTTGGGCGCGGACACCCTCGCACAGCACCGCAGCGTATTTCTTTTCACGGCACCGTGGAGAGAAGTACGTGTTTGTTTGCGCCTGCGTGTGTGTGTGTGTGTGTCCGCATGCTCGCCCTATTTGCAGAGCGCGTCGAGAAGCACCCAAGCTGCCGTGCTTCGCGGCGTTATCACTGGCCTGGTCCGCACCACCACAGTCATGTCAAGGACGACAGCCAAAGGCAACGAAGGGGATGGACCCTCACTGACGTGACGGGGCAAAGCCTATGTGACATTTACGGCCCCACACCCAGGCATTCGGTGTCCGTGACGATCCTTACTGGCTCGGCAGTAAATTCCACGAGGACAAACAGGAACGCCAACTCCATGATGCCACATGTTGCGTCCCTTGCGGAGCCCTTTCTGGCAACAGAGACGGTGACTTCGCGTTGCCACCGCCATGGGCCTCCAAACGTTACAATTCATCTCCGACGAAATGGTTCTTACCCCGTATCCCGTATAAGGCGTGATGCCGGTGGGGCAAAAGGCGATAATACAGAGTATTCTGAAAAAAAAGACTCGGTGCAGCCGTCTGCCTCAACGCTTTCACGTTTAGCGGATCAGAGCAATATCACCAATGCCCCTCTTGATTCAGTGAGACACAATGAATCCGATGACGCGACCATTGTGTTTGGGGTAAGCCACACAGGGGCCCCTGCGGCTTTCTTCTCTCCATATTCCACGGCACAAAGTGGCACAGCAGATGCCCTGACGAGCACAGGGACTTGGCTGAACCCAACGGCGAGGACAACCCCGGTTGGGGTTGCAGAGTTGCCGCGGAAAGCGCCGGAAGATGACTCTGTGCCGACGACTTACTCAAATGGCATGAAATCCGTTAAATCATCATTGCCTTTTAAAGCGGATTTTGAGCAAGAGCGTCCATCCAAGTGCGACGGCAGAGTAGAGGAGGACACGGGGGCAATGAAGAAACATTTACAAAGGCATGCTGTCATGAGGGATACGAATCATGGGCATGCCGACGATGCGTCTCGTGGAGGGGTAAACAAAATCAACTCCGAATTCCCTTTGCGAGAGTTGCGGGGCGTTGCCGCTGGCGTGGAAGAGGTCCGGCATCAAGGACAGCACTCGCATGAAGGCGTTTATGACTTTGATGTATCCGAGCGAGCATCACAACTCGATATTCCGTTTTGTCTCTATGAACGCAAACAAAAATCTTCCCGGTTGGCGGCATTATTTGCAAAGGCCTATCTGTGTTGTGTAGAAGGGAAAAATCCCCTTACGGATGAAGAGCCCTCTTCCTTGGAGTTTTACTGCCACGAAGAGGACCATTATAACAGCCTGGATGACAGCTATCACAATGATAAGGAAGTTTTTGACGCCTTAAGCATCACTACAACTTCATCGTGTGCATTTGGCGCCGGTTTGGCCAGTTTCAGGCTGCGTAACCACCCCCGTCAGAGTTTTGACGTTGATGATAATAAGAACAACAATAATAATGGTAACAATAATGGTAATAGTGATGAGAACATACAGCCGTCCCTCTGGACACATTGTTCCACATGCGTTGATGGGGGAAGGACGATGGAGATCTCGGCATATGCGGCCGAAGAAGCCATTTATGAGCTCAAGGTGCAGGCGAAGCGTCGCAACGCCGCGTTGCTGGCGAAATACGTGGCATCGTGTCGGCAGGTGGTCCCGGATAGTTTTCCGGCGGTGGCGAACCGATCGCGCCGGGGTGATGGCGTGGATGACCACCAGCAGATGGAAGGATTAAAGAATGATGCTCCTGCAGCGATGGCGGGGGCGGGTTTCCCTCAAGTCACAGTCGACACGCCGGTGTGTGTGCGTCATTCCAATGACGACAGGAAGGAGCACCAACTGCCGGGTGGGGCGGTCTCGAGGTTTCGGGGCATTGAGGCCTGGCTTTCCGCCGTGGAGTTGGCAAATGAGTCAAAATTGGAGATGAAAACAAGAATTCAAGGAAAATGCCATGTGAAGAACAAAAAAAAGAAAAGTGGGTGTAAAAAGGAGAAGGGGGTTGCGTGAAAAGTGAAAAAAAAAAAAAAGAAAAAGAAAAAAAAAACCCACGGCGGGGACGATGAACATATTCATATATCTTTTGTTGTTCTTCTTCTTTTTCCTCTTTGTACTTTGCTTATGTTTCGGTTTGTTTTTTTGTTTTTTTTTTATGGTTTGATTTTGGGAACGGGATGTTGTCTTTGTTTTTTTTTTTTTTTTTTGATATGGGAAGGATTCACAATGCATGCCTCCTCTGTGTATTTGTGTGTATACATATGAATGCATTTATTTATGTAATATTTATGATTTATCAAAATGTAATTCAATGTAATGTAAGAGCGCAAGACATGTCATCTTCTTTCTTTTTTCCCTTTTTTTTTTTTTTTTTTTTTTTTAAAAAACGTACGTGAGGGAAATGAAAAAACAGTGATCGA